AGGCAGTGGGAGAATGTAGGGTTTTCTTTGGGGACCCTGCCCGGAGCCGATGACTCAATAGTCTGAGCTGCTCGGCTGCAGGGGATTGGCCTAACCCGAGGGCGCAGGGAATAAGGCATTACTGTCTCATTCCTGATGCGGCTGCGCACAGCAAGTGCTTTTTGAGCAGCACCGGGCTCTTTGGCTTTAAAAGTATTTCGACCGTATTGGATAATGCGCCGGCGGTCACGGTCAACCGTTGAGCGATCGGAGTGTGCGGTTTTCGGGCCGACCTTTTCTAACCCGTCCTTCCTCGGGGGAAGGCAGCATCGCTGCTTCCATAAATAATATGGACATGCTGGTCGCCTGGGGGAAACACCTTACTGCCTTCACACTCCTGTCGCAGAGGACAGTACGACTTTACCGCCAGACCGCGCCGTACCACGATTACTCGTAGTGCGGGGTCTCGCTGCTCTTGGTCTGGCTGCTCCCCTTTGGCCTTCCTGGCATGGTTGTACCTTGTGGAACGGAGTTCCAGCCACTGTAGCCCGCGGGATCATTGCAGCACTCAAGCCCGGCCACCACATCAAGGTGGCAGCTTTAGGTCGTGATGGTAATATCTTATCTCTGTTGATTCGTTCGGGTGGCACGGTTATGCACCGTGACGTGTTACGGATGAACAAGTACTCGTCACAGTTTGCCAAGGTGGCTATAACACCCTTACGCTACCTAGCTGCCATGCCGCCCGAAGGGGACACGAGGACTGGGATACTGCTAGGTTGCCCAAACCTAGACGGGATAAATCGAGATGCAGAAGTCGAACCACGGACCTTCCTGTCAGTAAATTTGCGCTCTAACCACTGAGCCATCTCGTGAGAGTGCTACAGCGGAACGGAACACTAGGTTTGGTTTATCCGTGTAGCTACCCAGAACCCCCAACCACCATGGATACTTCGGACCCACTACTGAAGAGCCCTCAAACTGCTTCTCATATCCGACAATCGATGTGGACCAGCTGAAACGATCATCTCAGAATCTGTTGAACACCGTTCGGAAGAGAGTTGTGTGCGCGCGAAATCTTTTGAGAGTCCCACGATTACGTACTTTTCCCTCACTGCTATAAATAGACCTTGTTGTAGCAAAATTGGATGTTTTTTGCATTGACAGTTGTGACACTTGCAGTATTAGCATCTGGGTAATTATCCCCGACCTGACATTCGGGAAATGAACGGGTGCAAAACGGAAGGCTTTCAGCCTACTCCTTGCTTCCCCTTGCTTTTCGAAGAGTCTCCACGCCCGCAAAGTAATGACCATCCTGAAAAGTCAATTAAGAACTATCCTGCATCACCTTGTGTTCCCCAAATTGTGCATTTTGATTGTGCCTTTACCCACCTCCGAACGTATACATTCCTGTTGTTGTTATTATGGGGACAACGCCGCAGAAATTACGCGGGCATAACTGGGGGCGAGCGTTACGGTTGAGGCGATCGTATTGCTTGCGGACTTCATGACGTGTAGTGATCGCTGTACGTATATGGTCAATCTACAGGCACACTTACATCCTTCTTGCTTCCGTCGCTTTGAATTCATGAGATTTTTCAATGGTGTTCCGGGAATGTTGGACGTGCTCGCAAATGTGAACCGACCTTGTGTGCACCAGGCTACCAGAGTGCCTCGTTTGGATCACGATGCAACCCCAACTGAGAAACCTAGAACACCGTGGTTTTCTTGGGAGGTCGTCATCTGCACGGAGTGGACTTTTAAACCTGCATGAGAAGGTGGTTGTATGCTCTTCAGGGCAATCTAGCTCCCGCAATAGAGACACCGTTGGGATCTCGGGAATCCTTGTTCACGGTCACTTTCTCGGAGACAGGTAGAACTTGCCCGTCAACTAGTTCTATCACTACTGACACTTGTTGGCTTGTTTTATGGAAGATTATTTTAACGACCACTTCTAGGATGATGCTTATGTAATTTTCAAAGTGTACTTTATTCACCTCCTCCAGCACAACATTGTCGTTGGATGCATTTTGTTTGTTCTTTCTTGGTTGCCACTAACAGCACTGTCGAGACCATTCTCGGTCCCTTGTTGAATCACTGGTTTTCCGTGGACCAACTGGATGCTCCAGATCAGAAGGTGGGGTCGGAGGTGGGTGGTTGGGCTATTTCCAACAGGGTAAGCCCCAGTCATGCATCCACACGTATTACAAACACCTCCGGCTCTCGGCCCTGGACGGCGGCAGTGGTTAGCAGTCGTAGTAGACTGGATGGGGCACAGGCTTTGGATCTCCTGAAGACCACGACGGCTACTGACGCATACGAATCTGGTGGGAGACGTTTGGTACGGGGCAAGACTAAGGTGACCGCGGTTGATCAGCCATCTTTGTTGCGTGATGGGGCACTGGATGATACTCCAACTCCTGCTGGAGATGAGGTATGATCTCGTTTCCTCGCGTCGCACCACTTTTCAGTAGATAGCATACTTTTCACAGATATTTTCTGCATCATAACAAACTTTGTTTGCTTTCTCTAACAGCCTTTTGTGTACTGATTGCAGTTTGGGGTTTTGAGGGACGCTTTTCTTTCCGAACAGCTTTTTCGCTGCTTGATCGCCCAGTTTGCATTCACTAAACGCTTGTTATTTGAGCAACAAAATCAACTTCCAACGTTCATGGCCCATTCTGGACAGTGTTATTCTTCGATATAAGACAACAATGAAAACAGTGATCAAACAGACATCAAACTACGCTCTTNCTTCCTAATGGAATTTGTTAATGGGCCAACCCTAGCCGTCCCGGTACATGGTGCTGGCAATTTGGGGACTTTTATTTTTTCTCTTTCAGTCGTATACGGAAAGTTTTCAATCGAGAAAGGTGTGTTGGGAGTAAAGGACTATTTTTCAATCGCCTACTCTGATCAGTTATTCAATTTCAAACTTCCCCTGAAGCACGTTATCGCATGTTCCGTTTCAGGTGTAAATGAACCGTAAACGTGGTCGGTTTTATCGACACCCGTATGGTACTCTCTCCCACGTGAAGAAATATCTCAAGGGCTACCAATTTGAACAGGTCATGGTGACTTTTACAAATGGCTCACACAAATTTTAACCGGTTTTGTTAGGATTGTCCATTTGAGTCAGAAAGAATGATCCGACTAGTCAACAAACTCAGGCAAATTGGCTAGGTTATGGGTGTGCACGATCCTCATCAGCTGTTGGCCACGAACAGGTGTTTTTCCGAATAGAGAAGAATCCTTACAAGAGAAATCGATTTCCTTCAAAGAGGACAGTGAAGGGGCGAGACGGCCCAAGCGGTTAGAGCGCGAATTTCCTGACTGAAAGGTCCGTGGTTCGAACCCGACCTCTGCCTCTCGACTTCCCTTTGTCTAGGCTTGGGCAACCTGGCAGTATCCCATCCCTCGTGCAACCTTCGGGTGGCATGGCGCCGAAAGGGTACTGCAGCTGAACAACAGTGAAGCATCAGTGTCAACACTGATGTTGCTGTCTTTGATGAAAGAGGACACTACTGAAAATCAACTTGTGTAAACAGTGCTGGATAAGTTTGTCCAACTGCAGCGATAGATGTAGCAGCAGTTGTGGGGCCTACCGTGTGTTTCGCTATCGGTTTTGACCTTTTATCGCCCATCTATCGAGGACAAATGAGCTTCACTCAGTGTACTGTGTCTAACAGCTACTGTTCTATAAAAAAAAAACAAAATTGTAATAAGACTCGCTTTCATGAATGAAAACGGCGGCTTCGGACTCTAGTTTTTCTGAGTTGTGTTCACCCGTGTAAGCCACGCTAGCTGAATGACTGATTCGAGACACCAGCCAAATAGTGAAATGGCAAACACTGGCACTTTTTTGGTGTTATGTGTGCGATGTGTCAAAGGAACAAGAACATGGCCTCCAGTGTTCGTACAGATCCACAATTTTGCTTGCGGTGTATCCACCTAATTCTGGTTTTAAACAGTCGTTCATCCACACCGGAGCGGATTTCGGTTTTGTCATTAACCATGCACATCCTGGGCTGCGATGGTATTTGAACTCCCGAATTTCTGGCATGTTAGGTGACCGTGTCGTCACCACTCCACCGACAAGGATGGGTGCATCCGAATTATCTGGAGCGTGTTCACGCTGGATGTAAAAGAATCAGCAGTGAAGTTGAAGTGGGCCTATCTGCTTCGCCAGTGATCAATGGTGCGCTGAGTTAGCTTTAGCCAGTTGCGTTTGTATGAAGCGTAAACAATGCTATTCAGGTTCATTAGTAACCAAACGTCAACCTAACGAACCCTTTTTGACCCGTCCCACGTCAAATCTGATGAATGCTAGGCCTTTCGAGGGGATCCATGAACTTATTCATCCCGCTCACTGAGTACACTGGTGCTTTTGGAAATGTTGATTAGTGCGTTTTTTGGCCAACGCAGGCTGTGGACAGTATGGCCAACGAACCGCAGAACGAACGAGGTTGGCTACCTTTCCTCCCCAGGGTACTAACTCTCGTGTTGTACGCAATGAATATCCCCACCCGTGATTTCCCCATCCAATTCAACTGTGTCGATGATATGGTGATTGGTGTAGCTATCACCCAACCGGAAGACATTTACCGTTAAAAGTTGCACTGAGTGAAGTTTTTAGCTAGTAAGACAAACCACGTCACCACTTATTCCCCGAAATACCAGGCTGTTATCTTTCTTGCCACCTCCTGTCACCTTACTTAACCACCACTGTGTAATGTTTAGATGTGACCGTGTCAGCTAACCTTAGTTCATCCCGCGTGTCCAAACTGTCTTGAGTAAATTTCGAGGTCTAGATTTCGATGCAATCTAACTCAGAGCGCTTGCCGTTCCCCCCCCCCCCCCCCCTCATAGGTTAGTTAGTATTTGATGGACCAAGTGGTTCTAGCACGAATTTACTGACCGCAAGGTCCGTGGTTCGAACCCGACCTCTGTCTCTCGACTTTCCCTGTCTAGGCTTGGGCAACCTGGCAGTATCCCATCCCTCGTGCAACCTTCGGGTGGCATGGCGCCGAAAGGGTACTGCAGCTGAACAACAGTGAAGCATCAGTTGATCGATTAAGAGCACTCCAACAGTAACGGGTTAACCATCCTAGACATAGCGAATGGACTTTTTGTAATGCCTTCAAGCATGCTCTGGTTTGCGGTGCCCTCAAGCACCAGTAGTTTTCGCCGCTCATTTATGAGTTGTCACGCACCAACAGATTTCCTGATTTTATTGCATTATTATAGCCCACCATCACAGACTCTGTATTCTATTCGGAGTGTGCACTGGCCGTTGGTACTCGTGAACTCTACTCAACCTATTTGCGCATTCGGGAGAGTGATTTGGCCACTGGACGAAAAAACAGCAATGCTGGTTCGGAAGCCATCGTCCTAGAGCCGTACTGTTTGCGTCGGTTGCAGGCAGCCGACCTATCAGGTCGCTTGACCACTGTCGATCGACCCCCAACTTCGTCCCAGAAGTCAACAACGACCGCGAGTAGTCCAGCTCACACGCGTCTCCGTGAAGGTCTCCATGTGATTGCACCAGTGGGTTGGAGAGCTTTTTCACATTCAACGGATTCTGAAAACTCCACTGTAGTATTCCTAGGTAAGTTGTACTCGCTGTCTCGTTGGATCTGTAGCACGAAACCCCTGCGCCCACTCATTTCGGTACGTGTATTTTTTTCCACTCACACAGATACAATTGACGCCGTTCATCCCATCGGGGATAATTGGCTCAAACTCGATCGTTCTTTGGTCACCCAACGGAAGCTTCGTTCGGATCAGTCGTCCGAAGTTTTTCTCTACTTTGAAACGTCTTCGGCCGGTTCGGAAACGCGACAAACATGGCTACGCCTTATTCAACGAGCCCTGGCCGCCGAACGCTCTTGGCAACGGTACGGCTATAACCGACCATTTGACTATTCAGCAAAAGTTCCGGCAACCATAACAGATCAGTTGTCCATCCCTACTGGTGACACCGTGACGGATCAACAAAGGTCGGTGGTTTCGTCCGATCAGTCATTCGAATCGATTTCTGTGCGCAACGCGCTTCATCGAGTACGTGCTTTGTTATGCAAAGATACATTGATTTGGAGTTTTTCGGTGTTGTTATAACTTGAGCATGATACTGTGAGGAAGTTGAGCCCTAAGTCTTGATTGACTGATCAACTACATTTCAGGCGTCGTGGCTCCTTTCCATCACCTGGCACTGCTACCTGTGGATGACCCTCTTGTTATCAATTTCTACCCGATGTTTGTTGTAAATTCAGCGCGTGTGCTGTTTCTGTGACGCGCTAGCCTCCGTTTTCATATCTGCCTGCCATCAGCACACTCTGAGCTATGCCGATGGTATCAAATGTAGTTTGCGCTGAGCTTTTGAGTGCCCTTCATCCCCAGTAACTCTAGGAAAGGCCGCAAGATGGGCGGGACGGAACCATGGTCGTACTAAACTGATGTCAAATCGTTTTGGGTCAGCTGGATGGTCGAAACACGTAATATGTGTGCAGGGTTGTCCGGTAACCCGCACCGCTCATTAGACGCACCCGAGTCCCAAGTACAGGCGGTTAGTGTATACTGTATGTACTACGGTGGCCACTTTCAGAGCAGCGTTGGGCTTGAGTGTCCAGATATATCGGAACAGCCCAATATGATACTTCAGCATGATATTTCAGCCAGCGCCACGATGATCAGAGTTGGATAAACCCATCTACCGTCCGATTTCCGGCAAACTGATGTCATCAACAAAGATGAACAAAGATCTCAACGTGAGCCAGGTACTTTTTCTTGTCACAAGGTGCATTGTAATTCTCAACCTATACTAAAAATAGCTAGATAGCAACGTTTATTGACCCACTCCGATAAGGATGCGTCTGTAATCATTCACGTCACCCACGTGAGTCGTTCCGACCTGGCCCACTCTCTTGCGCTCCTCTCAGAAGTGGCATATCTGGCTGTAAGCACAGCTACAGCTAATGAATTGGAAAAACGAAAAACCCAATTTAGGGGTTGAAGTGGTGAACAACCTTAGGGCTTCCGCAGGTTTGGACAAAGACCGTTTATCAAAGCACACTCCGTTAATGCTGTGTCCTTCAAACAGGTCACTTTGAGAACGGAATTTTCTAAAATCAGCCATTATATTGATCTCTGAAGCTCAGGAATACTTACAGTTGTCGTTGAGCAATGTGTATCTTCATGGACTGCCGTGAAAACCGCGTACATGCCATACAGTAGTTGTAGAGCTGCCTTAAGTTCGTTCACCGGTGATTTGAGAAGGTTGGATAGGCAAGGTTAGGCAGTCGCCTTCATCGCTTTCATACATGATCAGCGTTTTTTTGTTAATCAGCTCTCCTGTCGTGAATACTGTTCCGTAGTCAGCTGACCTAACTGAACTAGTGTGTTTACTTTCAAGTAAAAAACCCCTGTTTCCTTCTGAATCATTGGATTCTCATCTATGGGTTGCATCATTCAAAGCGAAATCCGAAAGGAACATCCCTCCATTGGCAATTGAGAGACAACCTGTAGACCCATTGGTATGGGTCTACAGGTTGTCTCCGTAACGAGTCAGTTAGAAAACGCGTTTTCGGTTGTGCAACGGGTACTTCAATTGAAGAATGTGTCCAGCACAAGAAGCTGCGTTGGTTTGGACATGTGTTCCGTATGCCGAAGAAAGTGCTGTTTTCCATGCCCAATTCAGAGTGGCGTAAGCAGAGAGGTGGCCATTGGTAGAGGAGTATGAAGGAGATCACGAAACCCTCGGGTGCTGTCGGTGCTACTCGCCTTCCAGGATGGGGACCGCGTGATCCTCAGTGTACCTGGTTGGAGACACTACAAGATATGGCTGCCAACCGACGTCAGTGGCGTTCTTGTTGTCAGTTTCTATGCAGATTGCCTGAATGAGCGTCTGGAGGTGTAGACACTTCGGAATGATTGTGGTAAGCTAGCACTAAGTCCCTTCCCTGTCCACCTTTACTTTTTTCCTTACAATAAGGCTTCCAAATAAATCATGGTTATACGGCAGTGAAGCATCGATGTTGAACACTGATGTCATGCTGTTGCTGATGATGATGACCCATACCAAACACGTTGTGGGAATCCTCAGTTATCTAGCAATCCCATATCCACACCGCCAATGTCATGATTAACTTGGTCGTGTTACAATTTGCGGAGCCTGCACATGAGGCTTCAGAATCTTCAGTTGTTTTGTTGCTGTTGTTTAACCTTGGATACTTTGTTCCTCTCATAAAACGATAGTGCCTCGAAGTTTAATTCGGTCGAGCGTATCTGTCCACTGGAAGATAAACTAGTGGTTTCAGCTGCCATGGAGGAGCAGGCTCGCACAAAGGGCGCGATAGCGTGAACAGTGCGGGAGAAGAAGAGTGAAGTTGTAAATATCCGTTTGCCAGAACGCATTAAGGTATAGCGGGGTTCTGAAAACGACAGGTCTGATGCAGAAAAATCCTGAACTATGTCACTTGATCATACCTCTTAGTGTCTCTATCCACTGGCACATCTGTTCCAAGTATCCGCCAGCATGCTTGATGTTATTGCCCCCCACCCGGTCCACTTTTTACTGTCAGTTGCTTATCGGACTGCATTCTAAAAGCAATTTATTCTTCACCTTACTGAAAGCGCAGAAATTGGGAACTTATGCATTTACTTAATCTTGGGATGGAGGCCAACTTATTTCGGGCTTTCACGTAGTCGATTAGATGTTCTATCTATTTGGCTTCATTGCTGAGATTACTACTCATATGAGCATCGTCGTTTATCTTAATCAGAGGCTAAGGATTTACAAAGCCAAGAGTTTCGGTTCTGTACTTATTCCCCCTTTCTCTTAGCAGAGTGAGTGCTGATTCGTCGGTAAGCGCCGTCTCCCCGGATGGGTACCCGGGATGAGACAAACGAACGAATTGAACAGTAGTCGTTCCTGTCTATACATGCGTACACCAGGTTCGCACAGACTTTGTCACTGTAATTTTTCCGATGTGAGGTGATTCGACACAACACACGAGTAAATCAGTGTATAAGCCGTACTTGCTGTTTTAAAACCACCCGGTTTTATGACGTATTTAATGAATACCATGATTTTGGCGAAGATTTTTTGCTCAAGTGGGTTGTCATTATGAGGAGGCCCAAATCTGGTTCCAGGTACAAAGGTGTACTGGTGAGTGGTGCACTTTTGGATTTTGTGAGTGCTCGCTGCTTTTCGTTTCAATCAGTTTGATTCTTTCTTCCTCACTGTTCATTTAAGCCGTCCACCTGATAACTTACTTGCCGTCACCCAGACCTAGCGCATTAGTTCAGTCCGACTGTCAGTGACAGTGATTTCCGGCCGCGTGTGTTGGAAACCCGACACTGGCATTTATCGAGTTTTGACGCTTTCGATCGACCACATGACTGCCAAACATCAAATCAATCACACTACGGAGTCGTGCTGGTTTCTATTTCCAGTCCCGGCATGATGATTTTTCAGGGCTCATCGGCAAATGATGTTTCCGTCTTTCTCGCCCTGTGTAGCAGTGCCAAATTTCTGTGGGCGGTGGGAATTTTCCGGTTTGATTTCGCCACGGAACTTAAAAGCGCATTTAGCACGATGAGCCGCAGAATACTATGTGGCTGTTTCTTCCTTGTTGATCCTCGGAAGGCAGGGATTATATGCCAACTAAAAGGGAGAAGTTTGGTGACAATCGGTAGATTTATTGCTGACCAACGTTTCGCTTTTGACACGAAAGCTTCGTCAGGCCAAGTGACTGGGTTACGAGGTTGGTTGAAACTTAAGGCGGAAGAAGAAGCACTCAGCTCGGTCGGGCTAAATCTCTGTTGGGTGTCGGCCGAGGGATTTTTGTGTGTTAGGGTGGATGGCCAAGTGTTGAGCCGCTTATCTATGAACGGCGTGGATACGCGATACGGCTTAGGTCCTCAAACACTGACGTCTGAGTTACCAACATCGTTAGCTGGTTATATTTACCAGGTGATTTGTGTTTCGGTCTTAATACAGTAGTTTACCGTGTAAAGTTCAGTTGGCCTTCGCCGGTTCACCACTCGGACTGAACGCACTACCTATAAGGTTGCCGAATGCTCTTCGACGGCCCACGACTGGTCTCGTCCTTCCTGAGGCCCATCAGGTAGGCACAGTCTCGGGATTTCCGTCAACTCACCAAATATTCACTGTTGCACGCCAGTTTGAGTTAAATTAACGCATAAGGTTGGCGGAAACTCGGAGACGGTGCTTACCTGATGGACCCCAAGAGGGGCGACACCGGTTGCAAGCTCTTGAGAAGTTTCCAGCAACCTTACGAGTAGTGTGTCACACTTAGGCGATGTACTACGGTAGGTATCTCGAATATCGCACCAACTTAAACACGAGGCGGATCTGTGTAGCGCATCCAGTTGAAGATAACCATCATAAATCGGAGATTCGGCTGGACTCAGTTGAGTTTCTTGTTAAAACGAGTCCACCGTCCACTTTTAACTCTTGTTGGATAACTACCATTTTGGTCGGACTGGTCTAGTCGTTTCCATCGCTCATGGTTGACGGAGACCTTTGTTAGTTTTCACTCAAGGCCGATGAGGTCAATTCTTGTTCGAACTCCAAGCCGTTTTTTGGAAGTTATCAGCAAGTTTTGTGTTTCAGTTTATAAGCCGGTTTGTGAACTGGCCTTTTGTCATTGGCATGCGATCACACTGTGCCGTTGTACACCTGATTTTAGTATGTGTTAAACGGCATTTTTGTTCGATTGGTTTCGGGATCATTCCGTAGTCATCTGACTTGACCTCTTCGAGGATAGGTTGTCTACTATGTAGACAACAAAGCCTGGAAACATCACAAGCGAGAGATTCAGCTGGGTGCCAAGTGAGTCTCTCTAAAAACCAAATTAGTTTGCAAATGAGTGTATTTCGCCAAGTCCACGGTTCTACAGCACTTATCCGTTGAATTTCGAAATCTTGGATAGCCCACTTCCAAGAAGGCACACTTTGCGCTGCCTGCAAGACTGCGTTTGTTTCGATTCGTTATTTTCCTCTCGGTTTACCTCGGTTCTTTGTGGTTCATTGGGATACCTTGGTTTGAAGAACTGACGGTTTCCCACTCGCTTGTCATCCCTATGGCTTACATGCTAACTACATGCTTAGACGGCAACAGATTCGAATGATTTCCTAAGATGGGCTATTTCTATCTCCTGTTGCTGCATTTTCTGTCCATCTGTGTTACACCTACTTTTTTCTTCTTTGGGTTTGCACTTCCTCTGGGATTAGCTCTCTATCCGAGAATTCCGCTCAGCACGACCAGTGCTCCTGTATGGTATCGGTTGCGTTGGCTTTTGTCACTCCCACCTACCCGGTCGCATATGGGGTTACTCAGTCGATCAGTTCGTTATCCATCTTTTCCCCCACTGGGTCGACTAGACTCTCGATTGCCCCTCGGTTTTGACAATCTGGTGTCGAATTTATTCGCTGCGCATATCACCAGAGGACACAACTGTGTTTTGTACCTATTTTCACACTGGCGTCACCAAATTCCCAACGATTTTTCTCTAATTATCGCTCTCTCACCCTGCTCTACCTTAATCAGTACGCTCAAGAAACGGAATTCCTCATCAACCACCAACGTCAAAAGGACCGGTTGAAGCTAATCACAATCTACCCGGAAATTAGGGTAAGCTAGCCTTCTTTCTGTTGTACATATCGAAAACCGCACACTCTATCTTTTTCGAAAAAGTTTGGCGACAATCGGTCGGTTTTTGTTACTAGACAACGTTTCGCTTTTGACACAAAAGCTTCGTTAGGCCAAGTGACTAGGTTCCGAGGTTGGTGGAGATTTTAGGCAGAAGGGGAACCAATCAGCTAAGTCAAGCGAAATCTCTGTTGGGTGTCGGCCGAGGGATTTTAGTGTGTTAGAGTGGTTGAACAAGGGTTGGGTCAGTGGGGAAACCTACATGTGTTTGGGTCCAGCCTAGGGTCTAGTTCTTCTGGTTCAGTTCATTTGATGGTCCCTCTTGGACGTCGTTTGATCCTCCTGTCCGTCTATGTAGATGAGCTAGTGATAAGGTAGTTGTGTAAGAGGAATGCTGTGACCTTCGGTCGGGTTGGGATTTCCACCCCCACCCCCCGGTTTTCGCTAATGATTCTACGTGAGTTGACAACCACACCGTCACGTGTCAACTCGGCTTATCTAAGACCGCTTTCCAGACGCTTTCCAGCTCTACACCCTCGATTCTATTCAAGCTGTGATGCTTAGTAATTTCCACCGCCTCGACTATCAGCCGCTGTGGTGTGAATCGCAGTCCCCGTCTTAAAACTTCCACATCCTCTAGATCTATTTTATGTCCCGTGTCTAAGGCATGTACCGCCATCGCTGAGTCTTTGACCAACGTTTGGTATTCTTCTGCATTCCTTGGTGGTTTGTTAACCCTTCCTTTATCCTCCCCAATTCTGATGTGCACTTCCCTGGCAGTTTGTCCTATATAGACCTTAGAGCAATCGTTGCAGCTAATTTTATACACACACACTGTCTTGTTCAAGCTGTCTTGTTCGGCAACAGCGGACGTCTTCACAGACTGTCCACGTTTTCTAATCCAAATAGGCCATATTTTCTCCGCGATAACCTAGTTATTGAGAACACACATCATGCTTCCGTAGCTTTCACTGTGATCTGCTACTTGTGCGTTAGGAGATACAATGCCTTCCTTCTGGAAGGCATTCTTTGGATTGGACCATTCTTCGCAATCCGCCGACCTTATCTCTGAATGTGTGTTACGTTCATATACAGTAGTCCTCCAAGAGAGATCTTCCTGAAGGGAAGAGTCTACAGTAGGCGTTCTGCCACCAACAGTCCTTCTCCAAGGGAAGCTCGAATGTCTTTTTTCTACACAACGATGCCATTATTGGGGACCAATGAGCCATCAGTGTTTACGTCCTTCAGCTGCTAATGTAAATACCTCCTAGTGTATTTGTGCGTATTGTCTTCAGTGATGGTCTGGTACGGTTGGGATTTTTTTACAGGTTCAGTATCTATTCATTTTTCCTAACCCTTTTGGTCATCATCAGCTTTTGTGGTTGTAAAATTCGTGCCTATACGTGGGGTTGGATACGCTTAGGACGCCAAAATCTGAGTAGAAGAGTAATTAGGTCCCTGAACCAAAGCCGTTGACCTTGGAGCTTGACCACAATGCAGCGGAGTAGATATGTCTTGGATTACCATAGGGTCCAATCTCTTTGTACATCAATCCTTTCTAATGGTTTCCCACTTTCTCTACGTCTCGTTTTGCTCTAACCCCTCTCGTTTACCTAACTTCCAGTTCACCTATGACCAATCGATGACCGTCGCAGTCGAGCGGGCGCGTGCGAAATCTTCCGTCTTTCCACAAAATACAGGCATGGGCCTCTGTGTAATGGATTCCCGGACCGGCCGCAGTGGAAGTTACTCATCAAAAGACGTTACCGAGTCTGCTAGGCTTTCAAAGACTGTGGTGCCTTTTCCCGACCGAACGGCCAACTTGTGCTCGCGCCGGTTTCTGGTGACATGCCTCAATCTGAAATCCAGAGTCCAAGCGGTGACTGAACAGATTGATTCGGGAACAGCAGCGCAGCTGGACAATGTAGGATACATGTGCTTCATTTTGCAGTCATATGTGTGTTTCCCCTAGTCTTTTTGTCTCACCGTCATCTTCTATCTTTCTCCATTTACAGCCGGAGCCATACTTTGTAACCATGTTCCTTCTGAACACAGCTGACGGTCGTCGTGTAAGCGAAGACTTCTATTGGAACCCTAACTCACATTTGGTGGACTGGATGATACCTGCGGAGCAGTTTGCAACTGTCGCTTGGGCTGCTCATGGACCTGAATTCCAACAGCAACCTCGCAGTTCAATTTCGGTTCCGTCTCAGAGATTGTCACGCGCTCATCCCCAACCTTTTGTAGTCACCCCCCTTGGCCATTCGATCATGGTCCAACCAGGAGGATTGAGTGAGTGTCGATCGGTAAGCCTCTTGTGTATTTCACTCTTTTCGTTCTTCACTCACTTTCTTTAAGGCGCACCCTTAACAAGGAAGGATCTATAAAAACCTTCTTGAATGACGAACCCCCAAGAGAGGCACTCAACGTCACATGTCACTTTTGCACCATTATCTATATCGCTCTGTGTGTGTGGATTCATCCGGATACTGTGTAGTCTTGTGTTTAGCGGCTTGACACACGCCACCCATAAGCCCCATTCAATGAATATTCTTGAAGCCAGAAATGATTCAGTTTGAGCTATGTGACAGGTTACTGCTACCCCCAACCACTGGTCGGCTGATTTGGGGACTAACATGGGAACGGGTGTAACTTCACTAAACATCTTGTTCAACAGATGGTGTTCCTTACGGTCACTTGACCAAAGTCACACATCATCATCATTGACAGGATGACATCAGTGTTCAACACCGATGCTTCACTGCCGTACAAACCATGATTTAATTGAAAGCCTTATTATAAAGAAAAAAGTAAAGGGGAAGGGACTTAGTGCCAGCTTACCACAATCATTCCGAGGCGCCTATACCCCCGGACATTCACTCAGGCGATCTGGATAGAAACTGACAACAAGAACGCCATTGACATCGGTTGGAAGCCATATCTTGTAGTGTCTTCAATCGGGTACAGTGAGGAGACGTCATACATGGTTTTTTTCTGCAGTTCCTTAAGCCCAATGGGTAAGATGGTGAACGGTCAATGAACCCTGAATGTGTGCGTGAATCAAGCGAACCAAAGACGCCTTGGTGCGAACGGAACTCGTTTACTGCATTCACCATAAGCTCATGCGTTGTTGTGGAAGTTTTGGAACGCTCGTTGGATGATCGTTTCATGGCCAGGTTTTGTGGCCATGCAATGATGGGTCTTTGGCTTGTTGTTGTGACCAACACACAACAACGGGGGCGAGATGGCCCAAGTGGTTAGCGCGCAGATTTACTGACCGGAAGGTCCGTGGTTCGAATCCGGCCTCCGCCTCTCGACTTCTCCTGTCTAGGCTTGGGCAACCTGGTAGTACCCCAGACCTCGTGCTTCCTTCCGGTGGCATGGCAGCTAGGCACTGGAAGGGTGCTACAACTTTGAACATTTCTGTGACCAACAATGCTCGTGAGAACTCTTAGCAGTTTAAAGCAAAGTGACAATACTACGATCGTATCCATCCGATCAATCTTTGAGTATCCTGTACGACCTGAACTTTTTGGTTTCACCATATCACTTTGTTATACACGCTTCAGTTGCGGGATGCTACTCTGGGCTCGTAGGTGGGAAGCATGCGGCCAAACCGTGAAACTTCGATTAGTTGACATTCCGGCCACTACAGCAATGAATTAATCACATATCGGTACAGGACTTTGCGATGTGGGTTGACTCAATGTCCTTTGCAAACCTCGCCTAGCACAAGCCCAACTCAAGGCGTGCTCAATGCTCGTTCAGCCGTAATATCCTTTCGGTGTCTAGCTGCCATGCCACCCGAAGTAAGCACGAGGGCCGAGATACTGCCCAGTTGCCCAAACCTAAACAGGAGCGATCGGGATGCCGCAGTTAGGTTTGAACTACGGACCTTCCGGTCATTAAGTCGTGCCTCAACCACTGAGCTATCTCGAGCTTGCTTGCGAACAAACTATTGTTGGGAGCGCCCTTTCCGACGTTCCAAACGGAGCATTTTGTTGAACAGTGTAACAATTGGTCTCTCTTTGTCTTGTTTCGCAAACAGGAAGTTGCATCAGCTTCCTTATGTTTTAGCCTGCGCCGCTTTTATCATCACATCACCAAAGTGATGTACACATTTTGTACACACTTCAGTTGCGGAATGCTACTCTGAGCTCACTAATCATTCTGAGATCCAGGGGTTCCTGTTTTTCTTCATAACGAATGTCTTTTAGGGAAGTCGCTTGTAGAGGTTATAAGCTCTGGTTTGTTTGTTCACAAACAATTTCCCGATTGGGAAATTCCCCTTTCGGGGGTGTTTCAAGAAAGATTTTATAAAAATGTACACCAGACCGGGAACTGGACCTCATAACGTGTCTGCTGGAAGTCTGATTAGTTCGGCTCCACGATATCTCAGCAATAGAGAAGGCCAGACAGCACACGGATGCTTACTGCTCCTGCATTCAGTACTGCTGAGACTCAGCCGGCTTTTGAACAAACTTGCTGGAAAAACCGTTGTCGTTTTGTGTCCACTCAGATGTGAAACGACCTACTTTTCCGGTGAAGTCTTCGAGTGATACGACCATATCTGAACTCCTCGTGTTGAATGCGGGGATGCCGCTCGTTTAATCAGATCTGGTTTGTTCATAAGTTGATAAGTACTTGTTCCCATTGAGACGGTCTGTCTGTCTACGGGATCTGTCTGTCGATACCGACAAACCGAGGGTACCGACGCGAAGGGCTTATGTAACTCTAGAGTTGCCTGAAGTTCGTTTCCGACGGTACGCAGATAGCAATTCTGTGGCAAGCTCAACCACCATTCTTGGATCTTGTATTCGAGTTTTAAAAGTGCACCAAGCGTCTGTCGATAGAGTCTCTGCAATGGATACAGTGGTCCGCACTCTAGATAGGCGAGGTGGCTCAAGTGGTTAGAGCGCGAACTTACTGAACACAAGATCCGTGGTTCGAACCCGACCTCTGCCTTTCGACCCCCCCCACCTGTCTAGACTTGGGCAACCTGGCAGTATCCCAGCCCTCGTGCAACCTTCAGGTGGCACGGCAGTTAGGCACCGAAAGGGTGCAGCAGCTGAACAATTTTTTATATTTATTTTTTTATTAAATGAGATAGAAAGGAAAGTACCTTAGTTCGTATTTCATGGTTGTATGTGGGCCTCGAAACTGCCAGGGTGTCCGAAATGGGACGATTCAGGTCCTTACCGAAAGCCATTGACTCAGAATCCTGACTGCAAGGCTTCAGTGGTTAGCTTAAAACAGTCAAAGTTGGATAACTTTGAGAAACCAACTTGCCACGCATACTCCCAACATAGAGGGCGAAGAGACCGTCAGGCCTTTGCACATTGGCTATCCTGGTAGGAGAAACTGTGAATGCCAAACGATAACCCTCTTTTGTAACTCTGTAGTCACTTCATGACGCCATCTTTCCACTCAGTTATCCACATGGTACTAGGTTACTTGGAGACTTTATTTATCCACATCAACTGGCAACGATCGCGTTTCCATCTTTATCCGAATCGTACTGCGGCCTGAGCCCACGGACCCTCGTCTAAAGCAGGTGTTCAACTGACATCTGAGCATCATTCGCGTCACGGTTAGTAGATTCCAATGGTCAGGTGCTCATTGTACGTCAATTCGGACCCTGATAAATGTTCTCGAGTCCTGTCTGTCTGAAATACCTTCTAAACTAGGGAAATATACCAGCACTCCAGCAGGGTTACTGTCCATTTTTTCAGTCCCCCCGTATACCACATGAAACTTGTAACCCAAAACAATGGGTTTGGGGGAAGCGTTCTCCTCTGCGGTCGAGAAAAGAAACATTGAAACAGCCTGTTTTTTTTAATTATTGGTTAGCCTTGGGAAAAGTGTACCATGCTGGATATTGCTACTGACCCTCACTCAGCGGGGCGAGATGACCCAAATGGTTAGAGCGCGAATTTACTGACCGGAAGGTCCGTTTTTCGAACCCGACCTCTGCCTCTCGAATTCCCCTGTCTAGACTTGGGCAACCTGGCGGTATCTCAGCTCTCGTGAAACTTTCAGGTGGCTTGGCAGTCATCATGATTGACAGCATAACATCAGTGTTCAACACCAATGCTTCACTGCCGTAGCATGACAGTTAGGCGCTGAAAGGGCGTTGCAGCTGAGATATTCAGTCAACGTGCCTTTTCTTCTATCGTTGGTTTTCTTTTTGTCATTATCGTTCTTAAACGACATACACACGCATAGTCTCAATGACTCGCTGTTTAGACAGCTGACAACCACTCATTCCCTCCCTCTTTCTCTCTCTCTCTCTCTCTCGTTCTTTGTCACTTCAGGCCATCTTTTCCGTTCCACAAGCCATATCTACACCTGGTAGCATATACCTAGTGGTTCGTGTGGATAAAGTATTGAACGGACCCATCAACGCCGCTGTGGAGAAATACACCAAGGCGGCAGGCAGTCAGTTGAACGCTGAAGAAAGGTTGGGTACGACCGCCATAACGGAGACCAAACAGTCTTCAGCTTTGCATCGATCAATGCTCACCTACTGCCGTCATTTAGGGCGCTATCGGATGCCTTTTGCTTGGGGCGCAAGGTTTGTTCCCTTGTCTTATTACATTTTTTGTTCGGCTAGTTTTCATTTTTGTGACCAATTAACCTTTTAAAAAAATCTACCCTTCTTCCTGACGGAGACACTGTTCGTAAGGTTACTGAAAACTTTTCGATTGCCCGTTTTCACCCGTTCTCAGTGACTTTGAGTAGTATTCTGTCAAGAAAATATGCAGCGATATCTCAACTATGGTGAAACATGAGATGACATTTGTGCAGCTGCTACAAATAGAATATCGGTTCTAATTGAGCGCGAGAACAAGAATGAATTGTGTAGAGGATTGGGTACAGGTATTGAATGAATGATTGTAAAAATCTAATGAGTAATAATGAGTGTGGTTAGGCTTCTCGATTTCTTAACTTAAAATGCCGTGTACGCTCCTGCAGCCGGGCTAAATCAGAGATGCTAGGGTCATATGTATCTGGAGATGCAGGTGCATTGCCCGGAGTGACTGAAGTATGATCGATATCATCTCCAATGTTATTGAGCGGAGGCGTGTGCAAGTCAGATAGAGGGGGTGCATGAACACCATTGTCTTCATTGAATGAGGTACGCATGAAATCGTTGACATGTGTGGGATCACCACAAGGAGCGAGATGGTGGACGGATACAGTGCTTTCTTTCCCGCCGGGAAAACGAACACGGGCGTAATGTGGATTGCTATTTATTAATTGGACTTCCTCAACGACGGGCTCATACTTTGAGGCACGGTCAAATCTCCTCAGTAAAACAGGTCCTGGAACAGTGAGCCAAGTCGGTATAGATAAACCACAGGATGACCGGCGTTCAAACCGGAATATCCGTTCATGTGGAGTAACATTCGTGGAGACGCAGAGAAGGGACCGTATAGAGTGGAGGGCATCCGGTAGAGCCGACTCCCAGTGACAGATTTGGAGGCCTTTCGTCTTGAGTCTAAGCTGGATTGCGTTCCAGAGTGTTCCGTTGAGGCGTTCGACTTGCCCGTTCCCCTGGGGATTATAAGAAGTTGTTCGGCTGGTGCAAACTCCCCTGTCATGTAGGAATGTGGACAGTTCGTCAGATATGAATGACGAGCCACGATCCGAATGTACATATGCAGGCATGCCAAACAAAGAGAATAACTCACACAGACATTTAATAACTGTAGACGCACATGTATCTACGCAGGGAAAGGCAAACGGAAAACGAGAAAACTCGTCAACGATGGTAAGGAGATACCGGTTTCGAGTAACAGAAGGTAGAGGTCCTTTAAAATCGATGCTAATTCGTTCAAATGGTTGGGTCGCTTTGATGAGCGTAGCGGGGGGTGGTTTGTAAAACTGCGGTTTGATGGCGGCGCAAACCGTACACTTTGTGGTGATGTCCTTGACATCTTGGAGAGAGAACGGCAGGTTTTTGGAAAGAACAAAGTGGTGCATTCGAGTGATTCCAGGATGGCACAAGGAATCGTGAATTTCTTTTAATTTATCATTGCCGATCACATTGGCGCATAGGTTACGCGATAAGGTGTCAGCAACCAGATTGTCTTTTCCAGGTCTGTAGCTCACATCGTAGCTAAAAGCGGAAAGTTCCATTTTCCATCGCTGAATTTTATCATTTTTTATCTTACTTTTCTGCGACGAACCATACATAAAGGAAACTGACCGCTGGTCAGTGATAAGCTTGAAGTGCTTCCCGAAGAGATAATGCTTCCATTTACGGATAGATTCAACGATGGCGTATGCCTCCTTCTCAATAGCAGAGTGATTCTTTTCGCTCGGTGTCAGTGTTCTAGAAAAGAAGGCCACCGGTTGGCCGTTCTGAGTCAGAGATGCAGCAATGGCTATGTCTGAGGCGTCAGTCTCGACAACCAATGGTGCGTTGTAGTCGACTGTCACAACCATGGCGTTCTCTAACTCCTTCTTTAAATTTTTGAAAGACTGTTGCACACGCTCCGGTAAGGGGAAAGTCTTATTTCTGACAAGCACACTGATTTTGTCAGAGAAGCATGGTATCCATTGCGAATAATAAGCAAACATACCAACAACACGTTGTTGGGATTTAGCGTCATGTGGATGAGGGAGTTCACGAATAGGTTTCATTCGTTCAGGATCTGGTTTGATAATTCCTTTAGAGACTTCGTAGCCCAGAAGGCGTATTTGTTTGGCTGCTATGATGCTTTTCTTACAGTTAAGGGTAATTCCATATTTTCTTATTACTTCAAAGAAAGATTTGAGGTTCTGGTCATGCTCACTTTGGGTAGTCCCACAAATAGTGACGTTGTCGATGTAAGCGTAGGTGCTACTTAGGTTCTCAGACTTGATTATTTGGTCAATAGTACGTTGAAAACATGCTACTCCGTTGGTTACACCGAAAGGAATACGACGGAACTGAAACAGCTCTCCGCATGCTTCAAAAGCCGTATACGGTTTATCTTGCTCACTGATTGGAACTTGATGGTAAGCACTCAATAGGTCTAAGGTGCTAAAGACAGTATGACGGGAAATTTCTTCGATCATTTTATCCAGTCGCGGTAACGGATACGCGTCTAGGTATGTGAACCGATTAATGGTTTGACTGTAGTCCACTACCATGCGTCTTTTGTGGTTTGAATTTTTCGTGACCAGTACTTGAGCCCTCCATGGAGAACTCGAAGGTTCGATTATACCTTCATCCAATAGTCGATTAACTTCACAGCGGATAAATTGTTCATCGTCCGGATTATAACGTCGCGATTTTGTAGCAACAGGCTTGCAGTCGGGTGAGAGGTTAGCAAAAAGAGGAGGTGACTCGACCGCAGCAGCAGGTAGACCGCAGAGGGTGAATGGACCTCGGTCCCCACCGAATGTGATTTCAACTTTGTTATGTAGACCAAGGAAGTCATGGCCTAGCAGCAGGTCAGCACATAGATTGGGTAATACCAATAGTTTGATCTTTTTGTAAACGGTGCCCCTGTAATCGATGGATGCGTAGCAGTAGCCTCTAGTTGAACACGTCAGAGAGGTAGATGCCATGGTAATCACAGAATTGTTAGCATATACCTTCCAGCCATGTTTACCAACCACCAAAGGAGATATGTAACTGCTCGAACTTCCTGTGTCTATGAGGGCCTGAAGCGATATCCCGTTCACCTTTATGCTGGTCACCGTGCGAGACAAGCAGTTCGGGGCCGCAGCAGTCAACAGGGAAGATAAGGCCGAATCCGTTGTGCAATTTGAGTGACACTTTACAGATTTGGATCGACAAACACGCTGAAAATGGCCTGTTTTGCCACATGATTTACAAACTGCTTCTCTTGCGGGGCACTTTGACCGTGGATGTCTGGAACGACCACAAAAGTAACATATCTGAGAACTGATTGACGAGAGATAGGGTGTAGAATCAGGGGAGTTTGAGTGTGAAGGGATAACTGTAGATGTCTGTAAAGGTGCTGCAGCCGCAGAAAATGATATCGCCTGGTTATGTGAGTATGACTGAGCTTGTTTGTGGGCCAATTCTAATGACCTGGCCAATTCATGAGCTTCATCGAGAGTGAGTTCGTTTTGAGCTAGAAGTCGTTCTCTGATGGTAGTAGACTGAAGTCCGTTGATTAGAGCATCGCGTACACTTTCGTTTTGATGGTCAATGGCGGACACCGCCTTGAAATCACAATTTTTGGCCAAGGATTTAAGCCTCTGAACAAACTGATCAACATCTTGACTGGTGTCTTGTTTGCAAGTTTGTAGAAGATGGCGAGCATAAATTATATTCTTTGGACGAACGTACAACTTTTCAAGTGCACTGATAGCTGATTCGTAATCTGGACAGTCAGCGATATAAACGTATACAGGTGCATCCACAAAATGGATCAGAGTTTCGAGTTTATTTAGATTGGGCGATTCGACAGTGCCCAGAAACGTTTGGAAGGTTCGGAACCAATGATTCCAACGCGTTGTTGCGTCTGGAGAATTAGGATCTGCGTCGAAACACTTGGGTCGCAGCAACGGTTCCATTGTATTCTTAGACAAGTAAATTGTTACGAATAGAATATCGATTCTGATTGAGCGCGAGAACAAGAATGAATGGCGTAGAATGAATATCACTTTACTTGTCTAAGAATAGACGTACATAAGCTGAAAATGACGGCGAAGGCATGGTTAATACAAAACGATAATGTGAGCACGAATATTCATGACAACAGCCCATTCTGTTCAACAATTTCATGGACAAGAGATTCAGATGTAATCCGAACTCAATTTGCAAATGAATGCAGTTCACCGAAATCAACTCTGTTCATTCAACGTATCTCCTCTTATTTACGCTACGAAGACAACTAACTGAGGTTTCTGATAAGTTAGCCTGACTGCTGTCACCGTAGGTCGAATTACTAGAGCATCTACTCTCGGCGGCTGTTGTTTGTTGAACTACACTCAGGCATACCCCCAGACAGTGAATCGTACCAAGTTAACTGAAGCCTTCCTCAGGCAATGGCAACTGCGGCTGTCGTTGCACCCCATGTGTGCGCAAACTCTTCCAGCATCGCAGAAACTACGGTAGGCTAGCACGCTAGGGGTTGTCCCAGTCAAATGTTGCTATCGTGTAGTCGAAATTGGTGGAACTAGAGTCGAAGCTAAGCTACTTGGGACTTTTCTTTTCAGGATAAAAACATTTTTTGTCACAAGAAATTGTCCCCCCGCTTATGTGACCTTCCGTCGTCTCCCCCCCCACTCCACAGGTCGCTCACTTCTCAGTCCCATTCCATTCCCTTGTTTAGTATGGATCAAGCCAAATT